TATTTATCTTGGGTATTTGAAGTCAAATAATACCGGTTCTGATCAGGTTGTTAAAATTTTTTTCGAATCAAAAGCACAATTTTCGCAAACTTCTTCAGTTTTTTTTAATTTGAAAAAGACGGTTTTATTTTATTCTTTTGAAAAAAAGACAGGTTTTCTGATTGGAAAAAATCGGTTATCGTTGGAACGTTGCGTTTTTATGGGAAAGCCGATCTTCTTAGGTTTTAAAATAAAACAGTCGGTTTTCTTAGGCTATGCAATTCCTTACTTCCTCGACAATGTTGACGCGAACTGAGCAAAGTTCTAACTGAACCGGCTAATTTTAGCAAGAAGAACACACAACACCCAGCAAAGACATTATTCCACCGGAAATTAGATGATAGAATCCGACACCGTGCCTACGCAAACAGTCTTCTACCCGTTCCGATAATTAGATTGCAAGATTCCCCATTCCAGCAGATCGTACACTCGATGCACGGCGGTACTCTGGCCCCGCACGATGGTCCGAGGATGCGCCACACTCTCCGCAAATTAACATTATACCTCGCAAGCGATTATTGGCATGCTGGATACCCAAGTCAGAAACGGCGCCGTGCGATTAAACGGCGCATAATACGAATCGGATTCCCACAAGTAACACACGGATAATGTTACGCCGTGGATCGGCCGCGGAATAAGCAGGATGGTACCGAGCAGCAATCGCAGCATAATGGATGTAATTAGCGATTGGTAATGTACCGCTAAAAAGAGACGCGGATCGACTGCATTCAGGATTAATCATGGGAATGACGAGTTGGTCGGATAAGGCTAATATCGATCGATAATATGTTGTGTCGCTGGGTGTTAGATGGGATGCGGGGCTTTTTTTGGATTGCAGACGGTAATAGGTGTACACATATGAGCAGAAGTGTCCTGTCTCAGATGACAATGTTGGATTAGATGAAATGGATGTACACTGTCGCGTCCAGCGTTGTACAGAATAATTCTTGGGAAAAGCGGAAAAATCTACCGGGATTATTGGTGCTATGGAGGAAAAAGTATTCTGCTTAAATGTGTTCCGGGTTGCGTTATTTCCGACAAATTCTTGTACAACTCCTCAACACATGTTCGCTTTACACAAGCCCATTAATTACTGATGAGAGGCTTCACCATAACTGTTTTCTTTGCTTAAATATTGTTGGTTTTATAGAACAATCCGGTATCTGTATCCAGAAGACTTTTTTAATTATAATAAAGTAGAGATCGCACATGGCAAAATTCAGTTGCTGGTAATTACCTGCACCTACAGGTGATCATTATGAAGGTAATTTGCGACCTTGACGAAACGTATCCCTTTTTTTGCCCTTGAAATGTCATTTTTACAATCACAGTTATAGATAATTTATTTTTATATGAACCTCGTAAAAGCCTGTTATGTATCTGGCTACGGCCGTTTGGCCGACTTTTTACCATTCAAGGTCTATTACACCCTTCCTGCCACGAATTTGCGCAAAGGGCTTTTACGTGGACACTTGCAAAAAGTAATAAAAACGATTAAGTTGAAATTAATAATTAAGTAAATTGCCGAATGGGCACGAACACCCCGCATTACCATTACGTTTATAGCGGAAAGGTTTCCACTTCAAGTGCGAACAGACGCTGCTGATTGTTTCCGGTGTGCTAACGATACGGACTAAGCCGACACCTGGTTTCGCTGAAAACTTTTTGGCATCATTCCAGCAAAAACGTTTAAATGCAACCGTTAAATTTTCTGTGAAATATAATATCCGTTTAATTTTTTATGTATCAATGGTAAAAAATCAATAGCCAATCCTTGTTCGTTTGTGGCCAGTACTTCAAAGGTCAGGTGGTATCGTAAAATTGTGACCGGGCAAAATTCATGGCTCTTATCGCTTTTATTTGAATCTAGAAAAGTGGGACAAAATTACATACGGAATATGTTACGATTATTTAGCTTTTTCAGTGAGAATCCCTCGAGGCACTGAGTGTAGACCGTGGTGTGTTTTCTGCACGCTAAGCGCCTGGAACGCAAGCATTGCGACAAGCGTACACAATCCAGTAAAAACACGTCTCGCTACTACTTAACGGGATTAATCAAATATCCCTCAAAGCAGTACTCACGATACCGGCACTTTATTTGTGTAAAGTGCTCTTCACCGGCGGTGTCGAGTAACGGCGCCGACGGGTAGCCAGTTATTTGACTTTATCCGTCGTTATTGACGGATTTTGAATAATTCAACCGATGGAAATCTACACAAGAATATGGTCTACACGCTAATGTTTTTCCCGCGTCTGACGGACTAATTGCCGAAATAGATAAATCAATTTATGGATACACATCGGGACTGTCAACCTCACGCAATCAACGGATTATGAAGTGATGGCAAAAATGCCCTTCGTTGTGATTAATGATTCAGGTGCGAGGGTGCACACCGCGTGTTTCTTTCGGCCAAAATGTGGTATTTTATTGGTGTATCTGTCCTTTGCGTTGGCCAGCGAGGATCTGAAGATAACGTATCTGAATCGGACCGAGGTATTTTTATCCGACCACAGCGTTTTAAACGCGACGTATGGCGTGGTGGTTAACAGTACGACAGCGGCACCGGAGAAGGCTAAAGAGACGGTTAATTATAACCGTACCAGGACGTTTCTCAACATCTGTTTTCTGTGGGAAACGGACTCCTACTATTCATCGTATAATCGGGTGGCGCCGTTCGTTGAGCTGGGGATTGAAGAGGGAAATAAGATTCTGAAGAAGTACAACATCGAGATGCGACAGTTTTATCAGAGCACGGGTCCATCGTGCACCAGTGGACAGCAGATTGCCATACGGAATTTCTATAATCTCCTTAATTCCGGTCAAATGCCAGATTATGATCGGCATTAGTAAGAATAATCTGTCTGGTCTGTTATGCTGTTAAACATACACACTTTTTTGATTTATTTCCAGGATTTCTTTCCACAAGAACAACCTTTTTTAATAAAGTAAAAATTTTCTATTAAAATTGTGACATTATTTAAGACAAAAAATAAGTACAAGAAAAAAAAAGAAAAACTAAAACAGATAAAAGATAAACTATGTGAAATTCAGAAACAAGATTTGTTTTAAATTTCGCTGATGCGCACAGGTTGTCCGCACTCGGTGACGGCTCTGTACGGATTCGCCCACTACTTGAACATCCCGCTCTTGGCGATTCCCGGTGCCGGCGCCACATCCGTCCAACCGGATGGTTCCTCCAGTTTCTTCCCACTCTTCGTCCAACCGACGTGGAGCTCGACGGATCTCTGCACCTTCATGATACGCTTCCTAACGGTCTACAACCTCACACAGATCACCGTCATCCAGGATGATTCCTACAATTTTTACGTCAATCTGGCCATCAGTTTCTCTAAGACGGTGAAGAACCTCAACTACCCGATTTATGCCAGCATGATCATCGAGCCGGTGAAGGCGCTGGACACGGATCAGGCCACGTACAAGAAAATCCTCACAGCCCATACCGAACGATCACGAGGTCCATCAAACTTTCGAATTATTTTGCTGTTTTGTGCCCTTTCTAATGCATCGTCATCCATAAGCAACACGTCATATATGTAGATAAATTTTTTGTTATTGATTTTTGAAGTAAATTTTGTGGGGTTTCACGTAAGATGAAATTCGCTAGAAGAACCTTGCTTGACAAAACGCTGTCTATTTCTGTAGTTATGCTGATTCTCGGACACGCGTTATGTGTCAGGAACATCATGGTAAATACGTGCACGCCCAGTTTGTAGATATCATGTCATCAGTACAAATTCCCAACACATCTGTTTGAAACTGCAAGGTTCCTGACAAAACTGTTTGCTTCCAGCAGATCGCTGCGGAACTGGGCTATACCCAAGGAGAACACGTAAGACTTCATTCCCGCAATCAATGTGTAACACAACAAACGTGAAAATGTTTTGTACAGATTTATATCGCTGTCGAGCTGTTCGAGCTGAAAGCGTATTGGGGCACTAACGATCCGGAAGCGGTGGATGCACCGGCTGGCGACCATTCCGACCTGGTAGGCATATTGCAGATTTCCATCAACTGCATTGCTGGGTAGTACAGCTAACAGGGCAATCAATAGATGCAAAATCGTTGATTTAATTTATATCAATAAACCCAATAAGAAACTGATCAATGACAGGTCTTCATGCATTGGTCGTTGCAGATTGCCATACCGGCGTATGAGAGCCTCGTCTTCCAGTTAATGGACGACACCGTGGTCGGTCCGCTGGAAGAGCAGTTTGAACTGCAGGCCACACTATGCCCGGGTCAAGTATAATTACTCGTTTGGAGCGCTGGAAAAGTATGTACACTGTCCAACAACGGAATTTTTATTTACTAACTACATATAACAATCCACTGTTATACAGTGTACATACAGTACATAAGCATTATCCTAGGCGAATAAATCCTTTTTTTTAAAAAAGAAGTTAGATTCATAAGTCTCTGGAATGTGTCGCAAAATCACATGAGTTCGGCTGCAGATCGACATAATATTGCGGAACCACTACGAGTCTCTGGTCATCTACGCGATGATCATCGATAACCTGATTCAGCACGGCAAGAATCACCTCGATGGGAAACTGGTGACATCGCGCATGTTCATGCATGAGTACGAGGATCCATTGGGCGGGATGTTCTACTTTGGCGATGCCCGGCAGAAGGAGAAAGGCTACATCGCTAAGCATTTCAATGCGCTGGAAGATAAATACGAGGTGGAATTCTGTTTTACGCTGTAACGTGTTTGGATAACATTACTGTATGTGAAAATGGTTTTGGGGTTGGATTGTAGTAACGTGTCCGCCGCACAGCAACTTCACGTTCTACCGCAAACAGAAGTTCAACTGGCCCGGCCGACATACCGATACACTGCCGCCCAATGAGCCGAAATGCGGGTACCGTGGCGAGAAATGCCTAGTGAATCTGTCCACGTCCATGCTGGGCTTTCATCGTAGCCATCTGTCTGGTGTTTGGGGCTATCATGGCGGTCGCCGGTGGCGTTATTGCCGTTCGTTTGTGGTACTCACTACACACCGACTAATATATTTTTCTCGCTGATATATTTTTTCTTTATTCTAATTTTACGTAGGAAAACCAAGAAGGAGTCCAATCCGTACTGGTGGCGAATCCCGCTGGACCAGATCGACGTAAAGGCGCATAAAAGCCTCGCACTGTCCAGACGCTCCATGGCAAGACATTGTATTTTAGAAGCTCTGTAAATGCAAGTGCAATACTGAATATTTTTTGCAGAGAAGTTCGATGACACTGGCCACCATGACAACCAGCGCCCAGTTGTCCGCCCAGATGGTTGGACTTTTCGGGCTGTACAATGAGAACATGGTCGGACTGATTGATGTGGCCGATCACCGGCTCCAGCCCAACAAAGACTTGGTGGATCAATTGCTGACAGTAAATTAATCATTTTCCGACTGCAAAACTCCTGTCGATTGATGCGGTACAATTCTGCGATACAAACAGATCAAGAAAACGGAACACAGCAATCTACAGCGCTTTATCGGCATCGCCCTGGATGACAGCAATACCTGCATATACATCGTGGGCGAGATGTGCGTAAAAGGCAGTCTGACGAATGTCATTGAGAATCCGGTACTGAAATTGGATTGGTTCTTCAAGAACCTCATGATACGCGATCTGGTTAGGGTGCAGCTGACCGATACATGGCAAAAACTGAAAAACCGGCTAATACCTGTATAACATGCTGAGTTAATAACCGATACTAAAATTCCTTTTTTGTGCGGCGCAGGGAATGGAGTACCTGCATTCGACGCCCATCACGTCGCACGGTGGCCTGACATCCAACACGTGCTTATTCGATAATCGTTTCACGCTGAAAATCTCCGGTTATGGTCTGTCGTATTTCCGCCGGAAGAAAGATCTACTGCCACCTGATCCAACGGATTATGAGCGGGACTGGGATCACCTGTTGTGGCGGGCGCCGGAACTGTTACGACAGCCTATGCCGCCGAAGGGCACACCGGTACATTGCTGCGTATTACGGAGATAATGCGTCGCTTATGATGTGCACTCGGATAAATTAATCTTCCAGATAATTTTTAATACAGTGGTTTGTTTATGTGTACCGCCCTAGAGAGGCGATGTGTACAGCTTTGCCATCATCCTCCAGCAAATTATTCTGCGTTCCGGCCCTTACGAAATGCCGGACGACTTTAACTCGGAAATGGAATCGCCGCGGGAAATTGTTATGGAGGTACTTATCGAAGATGCTTGCGTGAAGTGTAGTTGTGA